TCCCTCCCTCCCTCCCTTCGTTCCTCCCTCACTCCTTCCCTCCCTCTCGCCCCATCCTCTCTCTTTGTCTTATTTTCATTAACTTCTCTGTCTTTCTCTCCTCCCTTTCACATTCGCTTTCCTCTCCTCATCTTCCTCTATTATTTTTTCTTCTCTCTCTTTCTCTCTCTCTCTCTCTCTATGTTCACTCCTACCTTCCTTATTCATTCTTCTCTCAATCATGCCATCTAATCTTCTGTTGCCTCTCCTTCCCCCTCTCTCCCCCATCCTCCCTCTCTCCTTCCTTCTCCTGCTGTCCTCCCTCTCTCTTTCTCTTCTCTCTTTTCGTCCCTCTCTCTCTCTCTCTTCTCCTCTCTCTTTCTCTCCTCATCTCTCTTTCCATCCCCTCTCTCTCTTTTCTTTATTTCTCCCCCCTCTCTCTTCTCCTCTCTCTTTCTCTCTTTTCATTAACTTCTTACTTTCTCTCCCCCCTTTCGCATTTTCTTTCCTCTCATTTTCTCCTCTCTCATATTCTCATCTTCCTCTATTATTTTCTCTTCTCTCTCTCTCTCTCTCTCTCTCTCTCTCTCTCTCTCTCTCTCAATATTCACTTCTCCTGCCCGTATTCATTCTTCTCTCACTCATGCCATCTAATCTTCTGTTGCCTCCCCCCCCTTTCTCCCCCATCTTCCCTCTCTCCCTCATCCTCCCTCTCTCCTTCCTTCTCCCGCTGTCCTCCCTCTCTCTTTCTCTTCTCTCTTTCCATCCCCCTCTCTCTCTCTCTCTCTCTCTCCTCCTCTCTCTTTCTCTCCCCCTCTCTCATTCTCTCCCCTTCTCTCTTTCTCTCCCCCTCTCTTTCTCTCCCCCCCCCCCTCTCTCAGTATTCTCATCTCTCTCAATATATTGTCCAAGACTTTGAGACCCTTTCCACACCTCCTCTCCTTCACTCTTACTATCTTTAGGCTTCCAATTTGAAAGAAATGCCATGTATTCCATTGGTAAATTTTAGAGAAGTAGTATGTCCCCATCTTTTCTCTGTATCAATCACACTGTTTGTTTTAATGGAGGAGAAGGTCATTCAACTCTGGAGTGTACCAACATTGCCTGTTATTGCTATGCTGTTTGCAGTAAAGTATTCTTGTAGCTTTTTTAAATAGGAATTTAGGGAGGATGATTCTAAATGAGTGCTCTTCAATGGAATGAGGAGTTAATTTTTTCTGACTACTTTCGTCCATAATATGGATATCTGGGATTGCAAATGTAGTGTATGGCCTGCTTCCTGCCAATCTCACACTTCAGTGTACCCAAATATCTGCTATAAAAATAATGAATGGTGACCCTACCCATTATTCATTTCTGCATCAATGTGATCAATTTATGCAAATAAAGATATTCTTCTTATTATTACAATTCTTATCCATCAGTTTCTCTAATCAAGGAAACATATTTGCCCATTTAGGAGATGAACAGTTTCTTGGAAACAACTATTGCAGTTGATAAAGCATCTATTTATGTTTGTGCAAAGTGTACATTTTGTTCAAATTGTAACATTTGTAGACATGCCAATTGTGATAATTTTACAATTTTATCACAATTGGCATGCCAGACCAAAAGTCTCAGTCATGATGGCTGGTTCTTTGATTTGTTACAACTAGGGGGTAGATTTTAATGAAATGTCATTTTTTTCCTTTTCACTTTAGGACAATACCATTTAGTATAAAAATTCATTTTATGTAAGGACAAAAGGTAATGAACATTTTTATAGGTCTTTTCTTTTTTTTCCCTCAGTGTTTTCCTCCTTTTGTGTTTGTTTTATTAACTAGTCATTTTTTACCTTTTTACCTAATTTTCAAAGCACATTTTTTTGATGATTTTTGGCTATGTTTTACCTCATCAACATCTGCCTCCTAGTTATAACTTTTGGCAACTGCAAAAAAAATGTTCTTAAATTTATTTCCTAGTTTGAATTGTGTGTAATATATAATAAGCCTGATGACGGGACAATTTGAGCCTAGAAACATTGCTTTGTAAATAGATGCTTTATTAACTGCAATAGTTCTTTTCAAGAAACGTTGTTCGTCTCATGAATGGACAAATAAGTTTCCTAGATATTCTTCCAGTGCTTATTGACTTTTCTCGTAGTGGGGATTTCATTTGTGATTTTTTGCACTTGTGTTTGGATTGCATTGGATTTGTGTTTACTCACCTCCTTCCATGGTAGTGCTGTAAACAAAGTTGGTTATTTCTTCCTGGGACTGTGTACTATTTACTTAATGTTTTCCCTCTAATTCAGTGCTTCATTACAGTCACATTGTAAACAAATGATGATGTTAACCATTAAAGAGGTTAAAGTAAGAAGAGTCAGAATCTTTCTAAAATCTATTGATTCGATCTTTTTTTATTTTTTTTTTTTTAAAGAAGTGATAGGCCCTCTAACTTATAGCTCTTTGACGTACAGCCTTACTGCATTTCCAGATAATGATCTCCTTTCCCCTAAACATAGCGGAAACCAATGTTAAATATATGCGAGGTGGATTTCCTGGCTGAACTCTCTGTAATTCTAATGTTTGTCCTAGATAAGTACATTGTTATAAATAATTTCGACTCTCTAATTGTGGTCTTCTTCACATGATATGTTTGGAGAAGACCATGATATGTATGACAGCCAAACTGTGTAATAGCCAGCCCACAATACAGGATCTTGTGGATGACTAAGAGTTTCATAAATATAATAAATTAAATCCAGGTTGCTCACTTCAACTAACTGTCTAAAGACAGTTTCAGAAAGATCTCTCTCGAAACAATCACTAGAGAAAGCAGTTAAATTGCCAGATCAATTTTTTATGTTTAGATATATCAAGGTATCACAAAAATGATAAACAGCTTCGTAGATAGCAAATGCTGTTATAGGTATCTTGTATTTCAACTAAGGAAAAACATTGAAGGATCCTTTCCTAAAATCAGCTTAAAATGTCATTTTGAGTTATTAAAATCATTTTCTTTTAGATTACGCTTTTTACCTAAATGTTTACCTGGAAGACACTATGACTGAATGGGAACTGTTGGCACTATGAGCAATGCTGAATGTATAAATTAATAATTTTTTTCCCTTGTCAGTGTTACTCATGTATTTTCTGAATCTGCTGATAAAAGGCATTCTATTTTCATTCTCAATTCAGCTTTTTTTGATCAAGTACATTTCAAAATCAGTTTGTTTTCCAGTGGAATTTGTAAGTTACTTTGTTTTATAAAAGCTTTTCATAGAACATGTTTTGGAAAATACATTAAAAATGGAATAAGTGAAGCAAAATTGTAGAAATTATCAAAAAAAACAAACAAAGAAACAAACCATTAGGTTTCCTTACAAAACCCTTTCCTTACAAAAAAGCAAACAAAAACAACATTCATTTGAATGTGTAATTTAGTTTCTAAGAGTGGATCTTCAATGGATTTATATATTTAAAATTGTATGTTTGTGGTTGGATCCCTTAGAATGTATAGGGTTTTGCATGTAATTTTTTAATTTAGAATTTCTCTGGTGTTTTCTATTTGAATAAAATCTATTCCATTCTTTTCATTGGATTGTCACCTTATTTTTACAATTGTATCAAAACTTAGAACAATGTTTTGGCTAGCATTGAAATATTCTTCTTCTGTCCAGTTTTGTCAAGTTAAATGTATGGGGCTTGAAAGAGACTTTTGTGCTTAATTTTTCATTGTCAAATTGTAAAAGGAAGAAAATCATGACAATCTTGTTTGATAATATTAAATTGCACAAAGTAACCTTATTCTCTAAATGCAGTACTAAAATGTATTGAGAATAAGTATCTTTAATAATACTTTAATTCATAATGTACATTTTAAAACGTTTCCAAGTGTTAATATGCGTGAGTTCAGTTTTTGTCAGGAAAATAGTTCAGAAATATCTTCAGCTCTGCACAAAATGTCTTGAATGCAATCTTCCTTATGGCAATCCAACCAACTGACCCTGAAAAGTTATAATATTGTATTTTAAGGGGGAAAAAAAATGTAAGCGGGATATTCTGCCAATTTCTAAATTCTTTATTAGGTTATTTATTTATGTTTTTAGTCACTCTCTAAGTAAAATAACGCAAAGTAATGTAGTGTATACATTTTCTTTTTTTGAAGTGGGCCTAATAATTGAAAAAGACTATATATTAGAAACAATTTATTTAGTGAAGACATGGTGCTGTGCACTTTTGTGTACTCACTCTTAAATTTCTTTATGATCTTAATTTTTTTTTTTAGTCCTATAAAAATTTCTGAAGTGCTCAATATCGTGCCCTCATAAAGATCTTGTTTATTACCTAAAATCCCCCCCCCCAATATTTATTTATCCTTACATTTCTTATTTTACATTTTTTAATTTATTTAACATTGGTGATTGTATACATTTTTTTCAAAAATTGTAGGTAACAATTGATACATTATTTCTCTTTATTTACATTATCAAGAAGAATGTGTCTGTATTACCATACATTTTTAACATGTATTTCTCTCTTCCTTCTTCATTATACTCATCTTTCTCTTCTTAATTATGTTTTTTCGGTGTAATTGAGAACCCTTTAATGACCAAATTTTTTAAAATGTCAGTTAAGTTTATAATTAAATATTGTGATGAGTGTTTTGGGTCTTGATCTAAAACAGTTACATTATTAAGTTTTTATTCGAATTTTTCAGATTCTAACACATTGTTATAGTAGGATTATTCCTGTAGGGTGATTTGGTGGAATGTAGGACATTTCAAAAAGTTACAAAGTAACAAATTCATTCTATTCTTTTGGTGTTGTTTTGCTGCGTACTTTTATGTAAATGAATGTTCAAGGAAAATTTGTCTAGCATATAATGAAAAATACTTCACTGGATGAAATTAATTTTTTTATTACTTTCCTTACAAATTAATAAAAAGATTCTCCTTTTTCCATATCAGACAAGGGATACAGTCATTGGACAGTAGGTAGGTGTGCAGTGAGCAAACACTGCTCCCACAGTTGCATCCTGACCCTCGCATGGGCTGCAGCAGCCACAAATGTGTGACTGTTTGTCTCCTTGGTGCTTGATGTACACACCAACATTGTACATAAACATCTGGTCATTGCTCCTTCTCTTATCTTGAGTAGTCTTGATATGATTCGTGTTTTGTGTTCAACGGTCCTTGTTCTGGGTGGCCTGTATCATCAGATTCACTAAGGGGCGGGTCAGTGTGCTCCTTGTGAAGACAAGAGTCTGACCGCATGGCCCTATTGTGTACTTAGCCACCACAGAAGGCCAGCAGAATGACACTGAGACGCAGGGTGCCAGCTCAGGGACCTCTGGTGCTGCAACAGTGTCAGGCAACTGGATGATTCCGGTAGGGGGGCGTGTGCTGCATTGTGAACCTCCTCACGACTTCAAGCAGCTCTCGGCTCAGTCTGAGTCACAGCCTCCGGCCACAGGTAGCATTCTTCGAAGGTGCCGGCACCAGCCTCGCTGCTCAGTGGGACACTAGCCGCTCTGTTAATAATGTTGCCTAACCGAGTCTAGTACTAATCTCGGGATTCATGTGATTGTGGTTGCCTGTGAACCAGAGGATGCTAGCAAAGCACCTACTTATGAAAACACAAGATAGTGGAACCCCATACCATGACCAGAAGGTTCTGCTTCGTTCGTCTATGTGCATTCACTGCTGCATTTGGAGCTGTATCACTTTGCGCCTGAGAAACAAAGTTAACAGGTTCTTTTAAGGAACACTAGCCTCTCACTGCTTGATGGTCGCATGGCTCTTGATAGGGTGCATGACAGTAGATTCAGTTCATCCACTCACTACAGTATTTTGGTGCTGGTGTAACAAGTGAAGGAATGGGAACTGTTGGTGAAGATGTTATCATTTTGATTTTTGCTACCAGATGTGTTTTGTTGTTTAAATTCTACATATGAACGTATTTTTAACATCATATTATTAAAAATACACTGCCTTTATATTCAAGAAGTTATTATACAGCAAGATTTTTTAACATTAACAGCAATTTTCAAGGAGCTTTTTGTGAATTATTTTGCCATTTTAATGACTGGTTTTGTACACATTATTTATTTTTTATGCACAATGAGAATCAAGTGCACACAATGTAATTTTTGAACTGCCTGCTCACAGAGGCACTGAATTATTTTCCTATAAAATTTCAATTTTTTTTTCTTGTTCCATAGTAATACCTGGAAGGCTGACATAGATTGATCTGCAATAGTTGTTCACATGGCATCAATGTGTATGGCATGTAATGTTACTAATTTTAGGTGTAAATTAAATATGTATGTTTTATCATTGTAACTTAATGTTTCATTTTAAGTTGATAAGAGGCAAAGTGTTAATGGTTTTAGTTCTTGTTTCATGTTTATTTAAATGTTATGCCTGCCATCAAAAACACTCATGTGGTTTTCTTGTATTTTAATTAATTTTATGTCAGAATGCCTCATGTGATGCATATTTCTACAAATTGTATATGTTCTGTGTGTAAAAATTCGAATGGATGGGAAGTACATTATCAAATATTTGAGTGTTCATTCATTTAAAATGGATGTCACTAACCAACTTTAACTATCTATCAATCCTGTCTTTCTTGTCAGATGTTGACAAAAATTATTTGTAGAGTTCCTAATTTGTACCAAAACTTAATTGATTATGTCTGTTTGGAGTCCAAACACCTCTTTTGCTTATATCAAGAGTACAAAAGTTGTACTCATATGCATTGTCATGAGTCGAGTTGCCTTTACAAGCTGAGACTACTCCTATCTTCAGATCCACCATCATCGGCTCGTGAAGATGCTCCAGTGAAGCTCCGAGCTCGTTCCAACTCGGCTGAGTCGTGGGCAGCGACAGGGTCAGCAGGTAGTGGAGGTCGAGCTGGCAGAGGCCCCTCAGATCGCTCACCCTTGGGCAGTGAGCCTCAGAGGCATAAAGCAGTGCGGCAGGACTCGTATCTAGCAGCTGTACGCACACCACTGGGCAGTACAGGTGAGTGAATCAAGTAACTGAATGTTGAGATTTCTGAACATCAGCACTTTGTTATTAAAGAGATGTGGAATTTGACCTTTTCACGATATTAAGCTTTTTTTGATTTTACAGAAAGCTATCTAAAAAATCATGGCCCCTTTCTTAAGTCCTCAAAATTTCTTTGTAGGAATTTAAATTTTATGTTTGAAAAACATTTTCATTATCATAATAAATAACTTAGTGGGCATTTTTACTGAATAGTGATATACTTTTTCCTGTCTTTTTTGCCAGGTGTTGACAAAAATTATTTGTAGAGTTTCTAATTTGTAACAAAACTTAATTGAATATGTCTGTTTGGAGTCCAACACTCCAGTGGATTTGCAATCCAAAAATGATAGTTGTGTGGTATGAAAAATTTTCTTTCCTAAGTGGCAACAGTCAAATTTCATATTCATGCATGGTGATTCATGCATGAATATACATGGTTAATACAGTTTTCTTTAATTAAGATATTGGATAAATAATTTGGATTGTATTTCATTAGGATTAAAACCTTATTTACATTTCCAATGATAATAAAAAATCCCAAAAAACCTACATTTCAACATTTATAAAGCTCCCATTCTTAATGGGACCAAGATCTTCTTCTTCAAGAAGAAGAAGATCTTTAAGATCACTGGGATTGAATATAATTTTATTGGTATAAATAGTTTTGGACTGTAATGAATTTCTGAAACTAATATTGGAATGTATTTTTAATTTCTCGAAACACCATTAACAGTATATATTATTTTATTATACTTGCACTTTTTCTGATTTATCTGAATTAGTTTGAGACTGGAAAATTTCTCCCATTCTGTGATTCAAAAGATCTGAGATCTCATATGAAAGTTAAAAAATATGAAGTGACTAAAGGTAGTTCAAAAATAGTTATTGTTTTAAATTAAATTTTGCGCTGGAAAAAATATGTTTAATAAAAACTTATCACTTTCTTCCATAATTTTTACTCATGTGAAGAATTTTGTATCATTTTTTAAATTTGAAGTATGAATTGCACAATTCTGGAGAAATTCTTTAATTTGAATTCAAATTCCACAGTTTGAAGGTTGTCTCTTTAGGTCAGTTGTGATACCATAGTTTGTGGAATAAAAGTGATCTTAATATTGCAGTAAAAAGAATAATTTTGTTTATTACTTGTCATTAATTAAAATAATTTCTTTGTTGTATGTGTTCTGTTTATAATAATGTATAAATGTTTTACTCACTTGGTGTACTTACTCTTAATTCATGAACGAAATTAAATTTGTATATTGCAGATATTGCGTATGTGTTCATGAAAACGTGTTTAAACTTCAATGTGAATTATCAGCTTGCTTGTACAAAGGGGAAAATGTCATAATTATGTTTTGATGTTGCCTAGTAGACTTTGAGGGGTACTTCTCTTCTTAGCTTTATGGTTTTGGTATGCTTGTTAGGTTGAGGAACACGTTCATCTATACACATGGAAATAGAAAGCAAAACTTAAGTGAATGCTTCATTCTCTTTAGAGAAGTTTTTTGAGAATGTGGTTGGTATTGAATGTATTTTAATGTAATTATGAATTTTTGAAGGATAGTTTGGAGTTAGTGCTTAAAACAATATAGTTTTTGTGCTTTTAGAGAAATATCTTTATAATCTCATATTTTGTATGCGAAAATCAGTTGTCTGACTGTGTAAGTAGCAAACCTATCAGTTCGAGGGCGGACACAGCTTTTCTAATTCTATAAATTTAATATTATGACTCTTTGGAAGCGAAGCAAATACTCTCAGTGTTAATGGTTTCTAAAATGGTTTGATTGACAATATTTAACAGTGTTCACTTCACAAATATTTTTGAGCTAAATATTTTATTTTCCTCCTTATTATTTGGAGCAAAAATTGAAGCTGAATTTGATTAGAAAATCAATATTTCGTAAAATTAAATTTCAGTCAAGGCGTTTCTGGACACTCCAGGCCAGTGTAGTTAATTGTTGTTTCTCTCTACTCTCGCGTCCTCCTAGACCTGGGCAACAACAGGCTGAAGCGACAGGCAGCTCTGCTGCTGGACGAGGACGAAGAGTTCTCTGCTCCTCTATCCCCCACTCCCATCCCTATCCCGGGGCACTCCCCTCCAGTGCTGTCTGTGCGAGCTGCTTCTCCTCCCCCTCCAACCCGCCCCACTCACTTGCCCATTTTGAATCCCTTGTGTCCGGCTGAGCCGATGCTGCCCATGGACACGGCTGCCACCGATCAACTGCTTGACGACACACTGACAGGTTCGCACCTGCTGAGCCGACGCGGAGGCTGCATGGTGCTGGGGCTTGGTGCCTTGTTGGCTTGATAGTTTGGTGGTGGGACTAACCTTCTTGTACTGAATGTTCTATATTGTCTTTGAAATCTTTACTAGTGATGAAAAAAATTGTCTTGTTATGCCTTGTTACTATAATCTGTGTTTGTTCAGCTCTCATAACTACTGGTTTTCTTCCTTTATTGGTAATCATTGATGGTGATTACATTAACATTGTCTTGTATTAGGTTTTATTGATCAATTAGATCATAATATGCTAGTGATGAAAATTAATTATTTATGTTCTTAACAACATAATTTTAGTTCTGTTTTTAACTGTGTGCTTTTGTTACTATTCTCTCATATGTGTTCTTTTTAACCCAAATTTCTATTAATGTTGCCTGAAGCCAACTACACAAGAGTAAATGCGTTTGGGTTTCAAGACTAAAACTGCATGCGTGTGCTGTGTGTTCTTGCAGTTCCTGGTACTACTTCAGTTCCTATGCCTCGTACAAGTGATGGCCAGGGTAGTCCTGGTACTACTGCAGTGTTAAGACGTCAAAAAACTCAACAATCTCCTCTTGGTAAGTTGCATGCTATGCCCAGCCTCACAGCGTGTTTAATATGCTGATATAATATTAACATAGTGGGATAAATAACAAATGTAGTAGATATTTAATATCTGTGGCAAAGGCATTGTTAATTCAAATTAACAAGTTATGAAATTTTGTTTAATTCAAGACTGTCAGCTGTATTGAATATTGAGAAAACAGTTTAATTCAGCTGCAGAAAACATCAGTTTTTAGGGAGATGGACAGGAATTTCATTAGGGAGGTTGGGATTAATTAAATGTGCTTTTAAGCAGGGGCAATCTAAGCTTGATATAGATATTAAGGCGGATTAAGTTAGGCACAATTTTTTCTTACGCCTCAGAAAAAATTATAGGAACATATTAAACTGTAATTATTAGCCTTCTTAGAATTTAAAAAACATGGTAATTTAGAGAAATACAGATATCACAATTCATTTGAAATTTTCATTAAGAATGTACTATCTGTCAATTTTTGGGTCTAATGCAGGAGAGCGTTCATTTTCTAAATTAGAATTGTTCAAAAACTGCAGTGGCCCAAAATTGGTTGACTTCGTTCGCAGTAATGTGTATAGAAAGAGCAATCCTAACAAACATTGAGTATGACACTATTATGAATCATTTTACCAATTACAAAAAACCGGAAAAAGGGTTAGTTTGTTAGATGATCTAAAGACATTATATTAAAGTAATCTAAGTATAGACGTAAAAGTTGCATTGTAATGTATAAATTATTGAAGTAGTTCTTTTAAGAAAAGAAATTGATAATTTTGTAAGTATGTTTTTTTAATTATTTTTAGTTCTGAAATAAACTTTTAAAATGTTTTATCGGGTGTCCCTATCATAGGCTCTAGGCACTTTGTGTAAGGTGACTTCTTGGCTGTCTGGGTGATGCTGCGTTGTTGGCTGAGAGGCCGACACGCCGTCACTCGGACAGCTAAGGAGTCATAAACTCAGGCCGCGGAAGCCTATGTGTACTGTGTGTAAGGCTAATTCGGCCCTGCTTATAAGTGTTCTCCTACTGCTAGTGTCTCTGTTGCACTAATGGAGTTGCACTAGTACCTCTCACTAAAGATTCTGTGCTTGTGAAGGAATCAGAAGGAAAATGTGGTGCGAATTCCTGAACAGGTCTAGTGTGGAAGGGGCATATTAGATAAAACTTATAATTGCCAATTTCTATTATTCTTGATAGTTACATTTTCTATTTTCCTTCCCACAATCTTCAAAAACGTTTCTTGTGCAAAACTTCAAAGATCTTATTGTCTTAATTAAATTTTTTCTGACTTCAAAGAGAGGGCAATAATAATGGCAAAGAAACATTCATGAATCATAATTTTGTTTACTCCTTTGTTATTGAAAAGTTTTGACAGTGATTTCAAGATGACATTTCCATCATCCATCACTATCTCAGCTCAAGTGGTTTAATGTTTAAAAGCAAATCAGGGAAACATTTCTGAAACTGTAGATAAAGATTGGTTAATGTAATTCCACCTGCATAAAAATCCCCATACAATGAGTTATGAAATTGACATGTTCATAATTGTTTAAAATGTGTGTGAAACTCATTATTTACTGAATAGATGTAATAAAAAGGTCAGAGAATTGAGTGCAATCCTTTCTTACAGCAGAAGAAGAGCGTATAGGCCGCCGGGTGTCCTATTTGAAGGCCACATGGGGCGATCGCATGCATGTTGACAGCGACTTTGATCTTAGCGATGGAGAATCACCTCATGTGCATCACAGAAGGTAAGTGTACTTACTGTTTTTGACTGTGGCTTCCTGTTCTTGAGGTGATGGTAGCTTTGGTGATGTGTTCCATGTTGTTGCATTGTGTTTTAAGACATTCTTTTATTTATATTCAAGTCTTAGGAAAATGTAAGAAACTTCATTCACACATTTTGGACATGTTCATTAAAACATTTTAAATTTTAGCGAAATGCTAATGCATTCTAGTTTTAGAAAATATTGTCTGATTGACAAATAAATGATGTGCTAAATTAAAAACTTCTAGAACTATTGTGAGCATCAGATGTTATATTTTTGAAAGATCTCTAAGTTGTATTGCCTAGTGAATTAAAGTTGGTTTGATAAAAATGTAATAAACTTCACTCATTCTCTGCATTTCCATTTTCTGATTTGTCGTGTTCTTTCCTTTGGGAATTTTGTTCTTTTTTCTCAGATATTTCAAAGTGTGGTTAAGTATTTCACACATCTTTTGCAATATAATTGCTTTTGAACTGTAAATATAAACAGCTGTCATTTTGCTTTCTTATGCAAAAAGGGAAAGACAAATATTTGAATCTTCACACACAACTTCTTTTAATTTTCTAACAAAATAGCAGTGAAGGAATATCTATGAAAGTATTTCAAAAGGTGACATTCAACAGTGGGCGAAAGATGAAAGTTAACCTGTAATTGGTAATTTGAGAGTTGAGCAGATCTTTGAAAATCAACCTTTGATCGTTCTTGATTGTCATCTAAACAGAAGTAGTTCAGAGTATGTAATTATTTTCCATATATCGAGTCAGATTTTTATTTAACTAATCATGGTATGGTATAATACTTCATGAAATGTATTTCTGATGCTTGCAATACTACACAGCTACGAACACTTCAGCAACTTGCGGAGAGCCTCTGATTTGAATCAAAACTTCTAGAGTGCGACTGCTGTGAAGGTTGCACAGTTGATGTATATCCAATTGCAGCTCTAGAAAATGGCGACCTCCACTCTTCCCTGAGGACATTCAGCGGCTGAAGCGCATCTTTGAGGAAATGAGCTCAGGCTCAAGCTCACCTCGTCCTCCTGCTCGCCGCGCAGCGCGGTGAGGAGCGATGTAGTCCTTGTGTAGCTAGTGCTCACTTTGGTCTCTGCTGCTCTGTTTGCTGTGGGAGATATTTGGTTCACCATGAGGCGTGAAAATGAAAGGAGGGAAGTTTCCTTTGTGTGAAATGAAAATGCAGAAATTAGTAAGATACATTGGGTTTGAAGAAGCTTTTCTTTTTTCCAAACATATCTGGATTTACTGCTGTAAAATACTGTTATATTCATTACATTTAATTTGTTATTACTTTTTTATTTTTTGTTCGGATTAATGTTGTAATGTAAATGATAAATTTCTGAAATTAGATCTAAATGGGAAGGGGATAAAGGGATATTAGCAAATTTTATTTGTATTAATATCTGATTGATTTGCATTTTGTTAAATATGGTGCATTCATTTTCTTTTTAATATTATTTTTCCAACTTGATATCATGCATTTTGTAATATTGGGAAAATCCTCATGGTAAACAAAGTGTTCCAACAGTGGATAGGCTTTTTGTTCACTGTGCTGAGGCCAGCAATTTCTGTTCCTTTCAATGCAGGCTAACAGAATATCTGGGTCTTCTCTGGCTCTTTTCTTTAACTTCCACATTATTTTTCCGTTCCTCCTTCTTCACTCTTCTGATTTTTTTACTGTTCTTCACTGTGCTATACCTCTGTGTTGTGTGTTATTATTTTGCTCTTTTTCTTCCAGACATGTTGTTTTTCAGAAAGTTGCACATTCAGCCATGGTATTATTGACATAGAAATTCACTTATGAATATTCTGCCTGGGTAGCTCAAGAAGCTTTAGCAAATGCTCTTTCAAGAGAAGCTTTCACATTGTCTTCATGTAATAGTTGAGAAATTCACTACAATATTGTTTTACACTTCCTAAATTGGTACTAATCTACTTTATTGTGTTGTAGATGAGGGCACAGACAATTCAGTTTGTAATTCCTGATAAACTTCATGAACAAAAATATGCTCATTATATTGGTGTTACAAACACTGTGTGTATCTGTCTTCTGTCCATCCTTAAGCTTGTCTGTGTTGTGTGGAATTATATGTCTTTGTTGTAATTGATGTTGCACTGTTTCCTTGAAGTGTGCTGTGTTTTGTTTTCTTTTCAGTGCCCTGAATGCTAGTGTACATTGCACTCTATAACAGATACAGGAAGTTGCATTTAAAAGAGCTAATGTAGTTGCAAATGATATGTTTTTATTCCAAGGATGGGCCCTCTGAGCACATCATTGCTGAATACATCAGGAAATTGTATCCAGAAGAAATCTATATATACATGTTGACTCAATTAGAACCAGTCTATAGCAAACTATGTTTCAATTCATATGGGAAAGTTGCTAATAACACTTCAGAAAATTTTTGAATAGTTTTTTCTGTTGTGTCTATTTGTAATTTATTCTCTTATTCTGATTATTAATAGTGAAGCAAATTATATTGTCATTAATTGTACCTCTGAAAAATGTAGTGTTGTTTTAAAAGCTGCTCTCCTGAATCTGTCTTCTTTACAGCAGTCACCTATGAGGTTAAAATAAAGAAATCATGACCCCCCCTGGCGTATGTGGGGCCTTTTAAGTAGGGCAGATGAAATTGGGAAATATATTGTAGGGCATAATTTTCTCACTCTCTTTAGTATATGCCACAACATTAGCATGGATGTTAGTACTAAATAAATTAAGCAAGTTTGTATCATATTCTGAATTTAGTTCACTCATTGGTTGTCTAATGATTAGAGAAAAAAATGCAAAATCAAACACACTATTTTAAGCATTAGAGGTAAGGGAGAAGGATTTTGATTCTGAAATGTGATTTCATTTTATGTATTTTTTTAACTCAAGCACTCCAATAAGAGAATACTTAAGTGCAGAGACAGTGTTTGATATTTTGTGGTGTAAAATCTTCTTGTTCCTAATTTTAATACAGATATTCTTGAATTTAATAATAATTTGGTAGTTACAAGATCTCTTTACGTACTGTAGAGTGATGTTCATATAATTTAAAAAAATGTGTGCCCTAAAAATATATTTCAGTCAAGCACAGTCCAGAGAATAAAATGAACTTCTGAGAGTGATGTTTTCTTTCTTGTGCTGTTTGCCACTTCCTTTCCTCTCTTTAGACTTACAAAGGGAGTGTTTGATTTCTTTACTGTAACCCATATGAATATATATGTAATGAATTATGTGGAAAAATTCTTCATTGAAGGACAAGTGTGTTGTTGTTGTGTTTTTTCTCTTTTTTTTTTCCATCGTTATGATGAACTTGGAAACATAATGCATGATAAGTCAACCATCTTGTCTTTTAATGTTTTGTGATGAAATCCACATGTTCCACCTGGATATAATTGGACTCTCCCAAGGAGATTCTTGATTTTTAATGTTTTGGTTTATTTGTGTTTTTTGTTTTGTGTGTGATATAATCATGACTTAAAAGAGTATTATTAAAATTTGTTTGCGTTTATACTAAAATTTAAATTGACAGTTTATTTTTTGGTGTAATTGATATAATTGTAATCATATGTTGTTCTCATGGTTTTTGATAATCTGTATCTAAAGCAAATGAAAATGTTTGGTTTGATCTGATGATGGGTCTGTAGATTCTCGTGTTTTTGAAGAATCTTGTTTGCTTTTCAAAATGATTAATAGAAAATTATTCATTTTAAAAAGGATATCGTTGTCATTTCAGATCAAATACATTTACACACGAGGCCTAAGTCTTTAGTTCATGCATAATGAGAATCCTTAATTTATTTTTAAAAAATTCTAAATCAAAGAAGACATAAAACAAAGAAGGGTGAATTTATCATTTTGTGACCAGTTTTGTGCACTGCCATGTTGCTGAGAGTTTTGTTTAGATGAGGAGCATCTGGATTATAGAACACACGATCTCCCTCCCAAGGCCCACTTTAAACTCCAATTAATTAAAACAAATGAACTTGAATGTATTATCTGGGTGTGAGAAATGAAACATTTCGAGATACCGAACAAACATAGCAATCTTTCTTGTAAAAATTTATTGACCATTTTTCTATTTCCACTGTGAATTTAGTTTGGATGTGGAGATCTCGTGATCTCTCACCTGTGATCAAAACCTTTTTGGTCAGAGTATTCAACTTCTTGATCAAGTAAAAAGGAAGGTGGAGAGAATGAAAAATAGAGATATGAAGGAACTTGCTTATTGATGGCTTGGAACTGGCTTATTGTTGTTGAGGATTCTACTGAATTTTCTGACCGGAGTTGCACTGCTAATGTTCAGGATCAAATATCACATGAGGGAGGTTGTGGTTCCAATTTCTTAATTTTAGACATGCCCATGAGAACAAATGGAGCAACCAAGGGGACCCCAAGTGATGGGAAGCAAAATATACCATTTTTTTTCTCTAAATTGGGGATTTCATTTAAAAAATATAGCTTTGCTTACAATATTTATGTTTTTGCTTTTCAATTCATAATTTCACATATTTTAGAGGGTTAAACAAAACTCAAAAATTGTACATAATAACACACATCAATGGCACATTTTTTTGCAAACATTTTCATTGTATTAAAGTGTTTATAGTTACTTGAGTCATTGATAAACTGATGAACAATAACTAGTAAATGAAGTACTTACGTCCGGGAGAAAGAGTAAAGAGGGGGAAAATCGTGGGGGAACTCGGGACTCCCAATTCCTTAGTTATGGCTTATGGCTCAGATATGAAACTTCTCTACCGCTTGTAAAATTAATATGACGATGTGTAGTAAAGCGCGCCAAAATTTTAAGAACGTTTGGTTTGTTTATATATATATATATATATATATATATA